CGTCTAAAGAAATAGTTTTGTGTTGTTCGGATAGTCTAAAACAAAGTAATTATTATGAAGCTGGCAACCAAGAAAACAGTTACAAAGGCAAACTTATCGCTATTCGTTTGTTCTTTTCTACCTCTTGGTCTACTGCTGATATATTTGACAATTCTTGACTCGTTTTCTTTCCACCCACTTTCAACTGCTGAATTCTGTCTTATCGTTAAAAGCGTTAAAAGGCTCTCATCATATTTGTTTTCTATGCTGCATCGAGTAGCATTAATGTTTTCTAATTGAACATATCTTTTTCCGTGAAACAAATAATTTGGGAATTGTAAGACAAAACCAATGCAATACACACTCAGGCACATTATTTTTGAGTGTCGTATTTATCTGGGAATTGAAAGGTGTGCAGATTTTTCTGTATCTTTCGAAACTAATGAAAACTACGATAAGAAGAGAAGCTATCCCCACAGAATTACCAAGATAGTTAGAAAATTTACATGTCAGATTAGTCCCAGTCACTCCATGGTTGACTGATATCTTTCTGCCAAGTTCTTTAGCAATGTGAGAAATACATAAATATCGACAACACAAAGAAAGAGAACAAAGATTCTGTAATTTGAGGAAGGGCCAGTACGTGTTCGAAAGATATGTATAACCACAGCGTTGCCAATGATTCCTATGATGTTGAGAATGTAAGACACAACTCCCAGTGGGGCTCTTTCTATTCTTCCTTCTACACTGTAGTCCATTGATAGCTTATTATCCATCTTGAAGAATTTTGTCGATAAATGGGATACCTGGGGAAAAAAGGAATTACATGCATGGATTAGATTTTGCACAAAATTGAAAGCATGTCTTTATCTATGAAAAAAAATTTCATCATTTTTTGTATATGTTTATACTGGTAATTTTCACAGGATTCTGACCTCCCCCCCCCCCCAACTGCGCAGCTTCTGAGATTCTTTCTATACAAAAAAGCTTATCAAACAAACATTTTTAGCCTGGTCCTATGCGGTATATAAAAATACTTTGGTTGTAATTTTTTTATTTTCCGTGTAGGGCCGATCTCTAAAATTTGACAAAGTCAGAAAATAGAATTAGATATTGAAATATAGGATGACAGACTAAAAATATATGTACTTGTATATTTGATTTTTTTTTTTTGTCGTATAAAAATTATTCAAAAACAAAACTGTTGGAGAGGATGTAACCCTATTCATTCGCCAGGTTTTAGTGTAGTGTCTTTCTAACGAGTACACGCAACTCTGTGCGATAAGGAATAATTTATCAACTCAATAATCAATGCATTCCTCTGCTCCTAGCTTTCGTATAGACTTTAAAAAATACTAATATGAGATATCCTATATATATAAAAACCGTTGTTAGTGATAATGAGAGAAAATAACCTGTGATCTTGGGAATATCATGAGAATCTTCGAAGGTTTGATCTTCAAAGAAAATATTGAAATTGTTAATTCAGAGCAATTCAGAAGCATTTTTTATTATCAACTCCAAAGTTGCATGTATAATGTTATGATTATAAACACAGTTATATTGTAAATGGCCATCCATCTGAAGTGAAAAATTTCAATTTTAACTTTCCGTTGAAGAAGCATTGGTTATTAACATGAACATGTTAAGTTATATTATTTATTCAAATAAATCTTTAATTTCAAATAAATTATTTTGAGGTTGTTAAGTTGTCAAATTTAAATATCTTTATAACAATTTATATACAATTTTAAACTGTATGTGGAGTTTATGTCTCCCAGTTATTTCGATACGAATTCGAAAGAGCTATGTTTACAGCCAATATCCAAAACAAAGGAAGCTAACGACAAATAAGTTAATCTCGGGTAAAATTATTTACAGAAAATGATGACAGGCTCCAAATTTATATTAAAAGGTAATTTAATCTCGCAAAAAATATATTTACTGCATATGAATGTACATCTTTTTTCATCATAACTCCTCGATGGCACCTGATCCCACCTCTGATATTTAGAGGTCTGTGTTTGCTCTGCTCCTATTTTGTATTGTTTTATGGACTTTGATATTGAATACTGTTCGTTATATCCATATCCTGATTGTTCAACCAAACAATTCATTACAAATAAATATAATTTACTAAATACTAATTAAAGTTTACATTTACCTTAATTTAATAATTACTAATTAAAGTTTACCTTTACTGTCTTATGAAAGGTAACGCTGGTCCAGACTTAGAGAGACTTACTTTGGATTTCTTGTCCTCTGGTGAAATGCCGAAGAATCTTCTTCAATGTATATTTTTTTGTAGGAACCTAGGATATTATAAGTCGGATACTACAAATATGGATTGGAATACTCCTTCCCAATGCAGAAACAGGAATAACAAATCAAATAGATCTTATTTACTTCGTAAAGGGTTGACATTTATACAGAAAATTCCCATAGAGTATATATTAATATTGACAAAGCCCTTCGAATAATCTTATTCGACTTAATAGGGAGAACGATCTCATTTTACAATCCTGGGGCCCGTTTTACAAAAGAACTTTACAAAAGAACTTACGACTAAGACCAAAATTTCATTCTGCTTGTAAGTTTCTGATTTACATTAAATTGAAAATGGTTTTAATCTATATAAAAGGAAGTTTTTAACCTCTGATTTTTGGCTCAAATCTGTACGCAGATTGGGAGCCTTTAAAAGCTAACACAGTTGTAGTTTGTTCGAAAAATCATATTTGATTATGATTTTGGAGCGTTTATTTCTTTTATCAAATTCTTAAATTAATAGCCCATGCACGTAATTCAATACACTGACAGTATAAAATTATAAAGTGAAGGTATATTTTATCTGGAAGTAATTTTTGGGAACGTAACTGACGTGTACACTTTCAATATAAAAAATGGAACTTAGGAAATATAAGATATTTTAAGTATTTTTATTTTTTAAATTTTAATACTAGTTTAAAATGCAAATTATAAAAAAATAATTGCTGAAACAGTTGCATCATTGTGTTCACTTGTCATAACAATTAAAAATGACGTCATCTATACAAACTTCGAAAGGTGCTGGTCTCGAGAAGTTTGGAGACGATTTTAGGGTACGGACGTATTTAGGGTACACGACGATAAATTTATTTAATTTGATATATTTTGAAACTTTAGTCCCTTGATATTAATCTTACTTATATTTGAAAATGTCTTCAAGTATTTGACTGTGTAAAAATTATTAAAAAATTCATAATTCTGTAACAATTTTAAGAAAAGAAAATATATTTATATTTCACTATTTCGCCAAAAATATAGTCCCTGCTAGTTTTCAAACATAGTTTACCATTTCTATTTAAAGTTGCACAATAGTGACGAGGAAAGAAAAATATGGTCTTTAGAATCTCTCACACCAAAATTATAAGACATATGAATAAATTAATATACTTTGAATATTTCATCTGGTCAAAAACCAGAAAAGGATCCTACCTTTAACACATTAAACTGTATTCTGTCGGCTCTATTATAACAAAGATTTGTGGTTTTAGTAACTGTGAAATTGCATATTTTCGTAGAAAAAAAGTTCTGATTGATTTGAATTTGTTGTTGAAGAAAGCTAGATGTTATTTGACATGCCATGAAAACAACAAAAATAATCCCCTGTAAAATAAATGGCTATAACACTTCTTTTGAGGATAATCGTCAATTATTCAATAAAGAATATTCAGGGTTATTATCATTATAAAATTCATAGAAAACCTGCATCAATCAATACCCTATCAATTATGGAACCCTGTCACTGTGCGGTAGGTTATACACAGTGGTCCTGAACTTCATGCTTTTTCTATAGACTCTAAATACTCTAAAACACCAAAATGTTTCGTTTAATTTGATTAAACTTGCATAGCTTTTTAAAAGACACTGGGCATGATTAAAAAAAAAACAACAGCACCTATCTGTGTCGACAAATTAGATAACCGCATTGAACCGGCTAGCTTCTATAAAATCTTCAGTTTCAATTTGAATTCACTGAAAAGAAAACGAAACCCAGCTGATAGAGACTTTTTAAGGCTTCATTTTTACATAATTATTTTTATATAATTATTTATTAAACCACATGTTTACCTACACATTCTTTTAACAGTTTTAATGCAAAACATTTAAAACGAAAAGAGTCTTTATTAAACTATTTTTATTTAATGAACTATATTTAGTGCGAGGGATTTCCAATTTTTATTTTGTTCACAGGAAACCATTTTGTCGGATAACAAGGGTAATCAAGTAAGCAACTTTAAGCTTTATTTGGTAAATATTTCAAACATTAAAAGAAATGACAATAGGGCAGGTAATTTCAATTTAATAATTTAAATTTATAAAGAGTGACGGTGTTTACATTTACTGAAAATTTTAGAGATATCAGCAGGTACTAAGTATTTGTTAGAAAGGCAAACCGACATTAATTATAAACGTTATTTAGCCCCATTGGGCCATTTCTAGAAGTAAGTGCACAATGCTCACAAATTACAAATCCTATAGTTGTCAATAAAAAGTATAAAGTACGTTACATTTCTTAAGAACGTGAAAAATGTTAAATGCAATTTACTTCTCACAAATTAGGGATGGTATCACATTTGCATATAAACAAATTTTCAGACTAATAATTAATATATTCACCAAATATCAACAAAAAACGATTCAAGCCCCCTTTTAGCTCATCTTCAAAAGGATTAGGTTAGCTTTTCTTCTCACATTCTATCAGGCTCCCAATGAGCATACTGTCAGTGGGACTTGTCAAACGTGACACTTTGAAAACATTTAAAAAAAAATTACCAAGTGAGATACACTGAAAAGGCAATAGAAATATTAAATATGTCATATATTACAGTATTCAAATGAAATGTGACTGCATATGAAGATTTTAAGAATAAGAAGTGTTGCATTTTTTTTTTGCCAGAATACATTAAATCAACTGCAGTATAATACTCAGAATAGGATGGAGTATCATTGATGAAATAAAATGATTGTCAATCATAATTTCAGGATTGGAAGATTCACCAAACAGAACTGATGGCCCGAAATGGCCAAAAGTCAGAAGAAGAAGAAGAAATGTGCTAAGAGCAATTCGGGTATAATATAAGCTCATAAATATTTGTAAATACAGAAAATTTTGCAAACAGGGTTAAAGTTGTGAGTGTCTAATAACAAGACTTATAATCATTTGTTAAGAATGAGGATGGTTATTTCTACGAGATAGATTCTGATAATGCTATATAGACATACACTGAACAATTGCTTTTACCAGTTTTGAAAATGAATTGTGAAATCATCACTGTTCTTGGGGACCAATGTTCATGGATTTCGTGATCCAACCATACCCATGAATTGAAATCTTTATGAACAGCGACTTTAAGGTAGGATTCTTCTCTGGTTCCTGACTAGATGAAACACTCAGAGTATATTTGCTTATATGTCTTATATATTGAGGTGTAAGGAATTTAAAAGATCATATTTTTCTTTCCTCATCACAATGGTACAACTTTAAATAGAAATGGTAAACTGCGTTTGAAAACTAGCAGGGACTATATTTTTGGCGGAATGGTGGCGTATGAAAATATCTTCTTTTCTGCCTCTCAAAATTATTATAATAATAGAACAATGAATTTAGTTATAATTTTTACACAATCGAAGTCTTGGAGAAATTTTCAAATGTAAGTTAGATTAATAATGAGGGACTAAACTTTCAAAATATATCAAATAAATATGATTTTTCAAACAAACTAGAACTTTATTAGCTTTTAAACGCTTCCTATCAAAGTGCAGATTTGAGCCAAAAATCCACAAAAAGTATTTTTTCTCTCTTAGTAAACGATCAAAACTTTTTGTTTTTGTATCATTTTGTACATTTATAAGACTACTTTATTATAAGTGAAAATAAGAAAAAGTTAAATATAGGAAGCATATGAAAATAACTAATATATCCTAAAAAATTAAGAAAAACAGAGAAAATTCGGATTAGCCAATATCCAGTTAAGTTAAATTATTTGTGTAAATTTGGTAATATCATGCTATAGATCCGATATAGTAATATGTTTTTATGCAAAAAAAACAATCATCAAACTTTTGAAATAGAAGTAGGTATCACATGATTGGCAACAGTTATTTTTTATTCTTAATGTCAAGGAAAAAGATAATGACCTTGACCTGACCTTGCCTCTAATATAAAACGGTCAAATTTAAATTTGATCCTATCAATTGCTGGTATTGTCTTCTTGATTCTGTGAAAATTTCATTAATTTTTAAATATTAGAAATATGAGAAGAATCCTACCTTAAAATTGTCCACGTATCGATTCATTAAACTTTTTCATATTACAAGGGTTATTCATTAAGTAATGTAACTGGATACCAAAAAAAAAAAATATGACGCTATCTTAAATTAGAATAATTTATGATATCAATCCTTCGAAATATTCCCCATTTAATTTATAAATATACTTTTCGAGTCTTTTTATCCAAGACCGGAAAACCTCTGCATACTCGTCTTTATGAATGCCTAAAAGGCACTGATTGATAGCACTGCCAATGGCCGATCTGGACCCGTAGCGTCTTCCGGACATTTTCTTTACTTTAGGAAAGACAAAAAAGTCAAATTTTACTCAGATCTGGCGAATAGGGCAGATGTTGCAACTCTGTAACTCTTTCATTCTTCAGAAACGCTTTTACCTCTTCATGCTTGTGCACGACAGCATTGTCATGCAGCCGGTAAATTCCACGAAGGCCTTTCTTTGGGCGTCCTTTACGGAAGACATGTTTCACTTTGTTCAATATTCTGTTTTTGTAAACAAACCATTAACGGTTCTTCCTTTGGGTACACGAATTTGATCGCACCTCTAGAGTCAAAGGAAATGCTATACAAATTCTTCTTTTGTTCATCAGTGAGGAAATGAGGCACCCACCTGGGGAAGGAAACTTTCCTAAGATTAAGTTTTTTGTTTTGATTTTGTGTGCTGCTCCCGTTGAAACCTGGAGGGCCCTTGCAATGTTTTCCACTGTGCATCTTGCATCTTCTGTTAGCATTGTACTCACAGCATCAATATTTCTTTGGATCATGACTCTTTTTGGATGTCCTGTACGTGTTCGATTTACCAGACTTGTTTCTCCTTGTTTGAATTTCTTCATCCATCTGCAGACTACTGTATGAAATTACAACCTTCATGTAAACAGCGAACACCTCTTTGTAGGTGTCTTTGAATGGTTTTCCTAGCAAGACGCAGTTTTTAATATATCACCTGAGCAGCCATTTTTAGCTAAATATTACTTAGTGTAGTGACCATGCCGTTTTTGAATTGTAAGAACTTTATGAAAGCCGAAACCTATTTCGTGCAATTCTCGCGGAGTGAGAGAGAATGGATGGAACTTACAGACCGTGAAAAGAAAATCTAAAAACACTTATGTATTTTGTACGGAAACAATAAGTTGCATTACTTAATGAATGACCCACGTAGACATACCCACGAAATTTGGTCAACATAAACCATCTTGCCTCCATAGAATTAAATTGGTAATAAAGTGACACACCGTCTTAAAAATGTATACTAAATAATATCCATCCTATACCAGTTTCAGATTACCCAGCCTTATTTGAAGACGAATTGTGTTCACGTCTCGGTCAAGAATGGTTTTCTTTCGGTACCAATATTGGTTTTGAACACAGTTCTCTGGTCCAGCTGCAAGACCTATTTCCACGTAATCATAAAAAATGTGCCAAATACATGCTCCAGCAGTGGAATGCCGTGGTAGTGAATCATACCTTGAAATGTGTTCCTTTACTATACTTTGGATTGAAGGAAATTAACCTTTTGGATCTCGCAGATGACCTCTTGAAAGCTGCAAATTCTGGTTATTATTTGTTGTTTAGTTATTATACTTACTCAATTTCAGCGAACAATTTTAACAGGCGTGAGAGATAGAGATTCAATCTTTGTTTGTAATTTGTAGATAAACCAGAGTCCAAACATGAGGGTATTTGGGATGATCTCTTGAAGGACTTAAAAAAGATTTCATTCACAATGATGCCTCAACTTGATGAAAAGGGTTGGTTATGCTTTTCAGTTTTTGTCCGCGTACTTCATAAGTGATCATTAAAGCTTTTTCTGTCACTATACTTTCGCCTGAATTTTTAACTTTTTAGAGAGTACAATCAAAGAGGCAGATACATATATCTTCACGGACTGTAGTAATATTGTTATTGGACAAGGTTCAACGCTCACTGTTAATCAGGCATACACAGAATTAGCAAATCCGAAAGGTATGTTGGAACAATTTTTAAGATTTTCTTGTTTGTAAGTTTAACAAAATGCTTTACTGAGAACAACTTTAAGTTCATTCCTTCTTTTTTCTCTTTTCGATAATGATTAGAAAAAAGTTAATTTTTAAATAACCTTTTGAAGGAAAACAGCAAAAGAAAGATGCCATTCTTCTTGGTATGCTTCAAAGTATCTTATACCCAAATGAAACCGAAGAACCAAAGGAAATGAATCTGCAAAAACTTGAGACTGTTTTTTCCAGGCTTTTTGGAACATTTCGTACTGAAAAAAACGTCTTTTTACCAAGTTTCGGGAATGAAGCTAAAAACCTTTTTACAAAAATATCCACTGAAGTTTATGTGTACGAAAAGAAGATCAGAATTTGCTGTTAAATTTATTCCAGGAGATGATAAATGGCATGAATGCTATGGGCTTCATATGCTAAGTAGTGCATCTCAGGCCAAGCAATGTAGTGAAAATATTTCTAGACCCTGTTCAGTTGTTTCTGATTTTCAGTCAGATGCTGAACTGGAAGATGAAGATTCAACAGATGAAGGATGGGTAAAAGTGAGACACAGAACTCATGAAAAAAATAAATCAAAGCAAATAGACGAGAATGATTTGTTCCCACCCCTGCCCAATAGCAGAATAAATATTTCACAGAAGCCAAGTTTTCAGAAGTCATATGCATTTGTAACATCAGGCTCGAAGGAAACTGTTAAAGAGTCCAGAAAACGTAAACAACCTGAATTGCAATCTTCTAAGTCGATAAATACACAGCAAAGAAAAGGGCATTCAATATTGAAAGGTGGAACAACTACTGACATAAAAGATCTCTTCACCTATATCAATAACTTTAATTCAGGTCACCACATTCTCTTTACTTCTACTCAGGACATGTCCGAAAATATTGAAGCACTGGCTCTTGTTCCTTGGCTAAGCGTTTATGATTTTGATAAACATAGTCGAGAAGATGGACTTTTATCAAGAATAGAGGACAGTATAAAACAACGTCGATCAATTCACGTCTGCACATGGAGGGATCGTCCTCATCTTTCCCACCATGGAACACAATGGTGTTTGCTTCGTGGATCTGTGCAGGAGGCTGATAGTAGAACGCCTGACGATGATATACAATGGATGTTCTGCATAAGAGAAAACTACGAAAAGCAGATTGTAGAATTAGCCAACATATCTGATAATTACTGCACATTAACGTTTATTGTGCTTTGGCCTTCAGATCTCGAGTCATGCCAGTACATGTTCAAAGCACTTTCAAAAATAGCAGAGCTCATTGAAAACCCTAACATTGTTATTTGTTCCAATGAAAGCGATATGTCTTCAGAAAGTAAAACTATGCTAGGACTTCTGAAACCAAAACTTACGCTGATAAAAGATTTTAAGGAAATACTACAAGAAATGTCAAGTTTGCTCGGTGAGAAATACTCCATTCAAAACGTTGATTACAAACTGCCAACATTTGATAAAATAGATGAGCCACATATCGACGAATCGATGGCTGCCATATTCAGAGAAGACTTTGAAATTTTGTACTTGGACAACCCTTACCGCAAAACAAAAGAAAGCGAAATGACAATGGAAGAGTTACATGAAGAAGAGAAGCATTTTTACCGCGGAGGAAATTTGCACTGGTTTGCACTTTATCTTGCCGGAGCTGGTCATTTTGATGCAGAAAGAGATCTAACAACAAATATTGTACGTAGAATAAAGCATTTCTTTTTAGAGCCATTCAAGTCTGGTAAAATCACGATATATCACGCTCCTGGTGCAGGTGGATCCACTCTTGGACAAAGAGTTTTATGGGAATTAAGATCAATGACTCCCTGCGGACAAGTACAAATGAATTCCAGAACATCGGTTCAGGACATAGTTGACAGAATAAAAATTTTATTTGAGAAGACAAACCTACCTGTAGTATTGCTTGTTGATGGAGAAGATCAGCAACGGTTCACATATTTGCATAAATTTTTGGAAAGAGCTCATTTGATTGTAATATTGTTACATATCAAACGCTGCACAAAACCAAGAAAAACTGTAAGTTTGAAGGAAACTGAATTTTGGTTAGCTGGCACAGTTTCGTCAAATGAAGCAAACAAAATTGGAATCAAGTTTTCAAATCAATGCGATTCACCGGAAAAGAAAGATCAAATCGACAATTTAGTCAAAGATGTTGCCGATGGTAAAGATCACCTCATGTACGAATTTGGAATGGTAGCATTCTTGTCAGAATTCAAAGGTGTGCGATCTTTTGTGCGGGGATACCTTCAGCTTGATAAAAATCCCACTGAAAAGCTTCTGCCGTGGCAAAAGATTATAGGATACCTTTCTCTGGTTTACTACTATGGTCAAACATCAATGCCCTGTCAGTTTTTTTCAACCCTTTTGGGGTTACCACCAAATTATGATGTTACCATGGAAGACTTCCCCTTTCCTGTTCAGATGTTTATCGTTTCTTGCTCAAATGAAAATAAACGCAATACCATTCGAATATGTCACTATACAGTTGCAAAGGAAATACTAGAGTACATGCTTACTTGGAACAAAAACAAAATGGGTAAATGTGATAGCTCTGGGCTTAGTATTACAGCTCGATACGAACTCTACGAATTTTTGACCATGTTTTTGGAAGACATTAAAGCAAAGAAAATAAAAAGCATTGTAAAGTCTGGAGTCATTGCAGATATTTTAAGGAGAACTCTTATTTTCCGAGATAACCAAGATGTCGGTGATAATGAAGTCCCTGGGAAAAGGAAGCTGTCTCGTCTGATGGCAGATATTGAATGCAAAGCGCCTTACATGGAAAGGATTGACATTCTAAAGCGCCTGACTGATATCTTTCCAGAGGATGCTAATTTTCATGCGCATCTAGGAAGAATGTATTCAATATGTAGACCAGAGGATGAAAAGAGAGCTGAGAATTGTTTCATACAAGCAGTTGATTTATGTAGAAAGAAGAAAGCGGGGAAATCGTATGAAAACTTAGATGACAGTGCAAAACATACACTTAAGCATGTTTATCATATGTTTGGTATGTTTTACCTTCAAAGAATTACAAAATATACAGGAAAATCCCACGGCGATAAGCCAGAAATTCTGACACCCCCGGATAATTTCGATAGAAAAATAAGGGAACTACTCCAAGACGCTAAGGATGCTTGCTACTACTTCTTTGAGACACGGGAATTGACAAATTTGATTGGATATGAAGAAGCCTATGGATACGTTGGAGAAATAGCAACAAGATTAAAAATCTGTGAATTTATCTACAGGCATATGACTTTCAAAGAATTTGAAGAGTTTTTAGAAGTTTCGCCTGATTCAGAAATAGTCAACTTCGTGAAGGATAGCATCACAACAATTCTTGAGTTGTTTCTGCAATGCTATGGATGTGTGGATTCTGAAGATCTGCCGCCCGGGTTTTTCAGAAACATTTATTGGTACAACGCACTCTTCAAGTCTCAGGCAAAAGAACTCGAAAGGCTGGACATAACAGAAGACATTTACTCCCGACGCCTACATGTAGCTGTTATCAAACTGAAATATGGAAAAGATGAATCTCTTGGAACCTTGGAAAGGATATCCTCAAAATCGGACATTGAAGAGATAGTGCGTATTTGTGAACAGAATTTCAAGGATGCTGACCGTGGCGGATTTACTCCAATTAGAAGCGCAATTGACCTTGAATACAAAGATTGGCTGAATGCCATTAGACATGAGAAATTTCCAGAGATCTATTGCACTGCAGACGTCTTACGGAGAGTTCGCCATTGGTATGATACTTTGAAAAGTCCGAGTTCAAAGTTCTACTTGTTCATTCTTCTCAGCCTTCTTGGTTTTGGATACTCTGAAGAAACATCATCAAATGATGAAATGCTGAGGGAAGCAAACGAGTTACTAGAACAACTGAGGAAAGGAACGAAAGCTTTAGCAAAACCAAGAAGTCCGAAAGAATGGTATGGTAAAGGGCCAGGTATAAAATGTCTTATACCAAGTTGGAAAGTCAGGAAAAGCGGTGAAAATCGAGTCAACGCCGGGGACTCTAGTACAACGCATTTAGCAGTATTCAAGGGGACCATTACACGGCCGCATACACAAAGGCAAACGGGATATATCAAAATGGATCTTGGGGACAATAAATTTACCGTTCGAGTGTTTTTCATTCCAGTGAGAACTAAAGAGCCGCTTGTGGGAAGTCGATACGCTGGAGAGCGCGTTGAATTTGTCTTGGCCTTCACATATGCTGATGGGTATGAAGCATACAATGTGGCTTTGTTAAAGAAATACCACTGTTTCAACTGCAATAGAAAAGTTGAAATTACAAGCGACAAGTTCTCTGTACATTGTAAATGTGGAAGGGTTGTAACCAAATCGAATAATTGAACAAGGCCTGCAGCGTCGCAAACCACAGCCAAAATGTACGATCCTCTCCCATTCTGGCCAAGGTTGAATGAGAAGAGAAAATTTCGAAGCTCATCAAAATCCTGACCAATGCGAGTAAACCATAGTCGGATAATGAACTTTGATGCGACCGTTCAATCGTTCAATACCCAATCGCAGTGTACAAAATATTTCTTGTATACTGCTGATGTCAATTGTTGATTTCAATTACGATGGAAACGGAAATTGTCATTGACTGAATCAATAGAGATGCGTAAACATTCAAGATTACAAATAGCTCTCTCCTACCAGCCACGGGTAGGAGAGAGCTGTATGCGGACTCCGGACTGTGGCTTGAGACGATGATATGCCTGTGACTTATATGTTTAATTTTGAAACTATTTCCTGGGAGTTATTTTTCTATTGAACACATCAGTTCAAGGGACCACTTTTTCCCTGCGTTTAGGGACCACTTCTCCCCTGCTTTCAAGGGACCATTTTTCCCGCGTTCAAGGGACCACTTTTCCTCTTTTTTTTTCTCGGTGGAGTTGCACATCATAAAAGTAACTGTTCTTAACTCACATGAAGTTTTTGCACAACTTCATCAAATTACTTTTTTTTTAACTTTCTTATGCTGCACCAGATAAGAATATTGTAGTTGAATTAAATGTTATGTTCATCAATTACATGTAGCCTTCTAGGATTTTATTTTATTTTTTGAAAAAACACCATTTGTTGATGAGAGGAAAATACATTTGTGTCATTTTTTTAAATTTAATAATTAATAAATTCAATTTCATTTTAATTACTGTAGTTATTTTATCCTTTGCAATCAAATATTTTTCGAATTTATGAATATATATGACTTGAAAGGTTTTGTTTTAAGGTACCGTAGGTTTTGTCGTAGTGATGTGGTTTTTTTTTCGGCACAGACCAGGCACCAATATATATACTACTGCAGTAAATATGTCCTTGGCACAGACCAAATTTTGGCAAGGTGAAAGATCATATTCGGCATATTCATAATATATGTTGCTTATCACAATGTATCAACAAAATATTATTATATTTTGATCAATAAACTTTTTTATGAGGCATAAATTTTCTATGATTTTCAGAGTCTGAAATCTAAAATTTTATTGGCCAGTAATCTTAAAGAGAGTAAAGTATTTGACTTTACATTTAATATTCATTTAGTCGCAAGAAAAATTTAATTTAGCGTTCGATTAATGATGAGTCGGCAAATGACACCACCTGCTTGTCTTTATCTTACATATGTATTATTAATTTTAAAGTAGACAAAAACGACAATGGTTTTAGCTCTTGGTTTGGAGCCTCGTAATATTTTATATACAGTAAACTTCAAATCTACTTTGTCCAGGACTGAATACAAAATGTTTTCAATCGTGAAGACTCCACCACTTGCCAATGGAGGGCTACAAATTTAGACCTAGTCGGCACTTACAGCCATTGGGCAGTGACTGATCTTTATTTGTATCAGCACCGGGACCTTGGTTTAAAACAGTTTCATCTGAAGGACCTGTCTCCGCAGTCCAGCAATTAGATTCAAATCAATCAACCCCTCGTCTCTAGGCAAACGCCATAAGCAGTGCGCCATGCGGGCGAACTAAAATAACTAATACCGGTCATCCTTACGTAGATGCCAACTCCTGCCAATTTTTGTCCAAGTAGTTCCTATGTTTATTTCGAAAATGGGTTCGTAGGTACTACTTTTCACAAATTCAGGTCCTCAATCAACATTTAAAAAATACAATAAATTTTATTTTTACTGAAATACAAAATGTACAAAAATAATAACACTAAAATAAGTGGCAATTTGCATGTATGTAATGAAATATAAAGAAACAAAAGATTAAATCCAAATGGAATGTTCAAAAAAGCATTACATCTGGTTAGAGTTTTTTTTTTCATTGAGAAAACTTTCTGTAGTATAAAAATACAGCTTACTGATTTCAATCAACTCAAATATACACAACATTTATCATAACTTTTTAAAGAAAAATATTCAAAAAAAAAGTGGCTTCTTTTAGTCTTCAAAGACAACCATAAAAAGTAAAGAAGAACCTCAAAATGAGATAAAAAAAATTCTTGAGATTATTGAACAAGGAGAATAGAGTCATCTTTGTCTATAATTTACATGCAAAAGATATTATCTTCTCAACCAAATATACTTATTAACTCTATGAGCAGGAGAATGGAATTTTGCAATAACATTGCTTGTACAACAATACAAAACATTGTTATTTGAAATTTTGCATTAATTGAAATTACCATGATATCAGCTTGTATGTACAGGGCAAAAACAGTTAGTTTATACAACGAAAAAATATCATAATATAAGTAAAGCTCTGCGTAGTTTGGAAACCTTAGAAAAAGGTCTTTACATGTAACTTCATATGTATATATCAAGAAAAATATACATGTATAATATATGTCTTTGCTGCATACACTACATACATGAGACAATTATATCCATTGAGGTTAACAAATTTATTTGCGCAGGTTTTAAAAGTCAGAAAAAAAGATTGCTAGTATATCACATATATTTTGCATCATTTTCTTAAAATAAACCCTGATTAAATATATCAGAAAACACAACCCTGCATGTCTTGTTTTACCATAATTTGATTACCATCAAAATCCATCAAACAACACACCTATCCATTTAATGGAGACAACTTCAGCAACTTGGGACTTATATTGAAAAACTATTTTGAAAAATAATAATTAAATAATAAATTGTTATATTTTTCATCAGGTAGAACCTACACTAACCTAAATTTTTTACAAGCATGGATTTAGGAAAATTTATTATTTGGATATACATTTATTTTACTATAATATTATATACAGATGGTTGCTATTTTTACCTACAAATGCAAGTACTGTAAATCACTTTTTTATTCGCGAGAACTTTATTTTCGCGTAATTACGCGAGATGATATGCTCGTGAAAATTTCATTCTCGAGTATAATAGAATTCTTTAAGGTTATATAGAGCAATGACGACAATTCGTGAAAATTTTGTCTCGCTAATAAAGAGTCAATGACTATCTCGCAAAAATAAGGTATCGTGAAAATTAAGTGATCTACAGTAATAAAAATTCTACTATAAACGCTCTGTCAAAATTGTAATGTGCCATGAATAATGATATAACATACATTGTATGTAAATGATGTACACAATAAACAAAAAATTCTACATTCTGATTTTTTCATCAAAATTGACTTTTTTTCAAAATTAACTATAAGAGTCTTATTTTAAAAAAAAAAGACAAAAGAAAGAATTTAGTAACATTGTAAAAGTTTAACAAGTGTCTGGGTTTGGAGTTCCAAAACCCTTAGAACATTTAGCACCTTAGTTTTTTGCATTTATCAATGTACAAAACATTGTACTTTTGTTCAGTGCTATTGAATAATTATTTAAAGCTGAACACGACTCGTAAATAGGCATACGCCATTTTCGATATCATTATCTACGATACATGAACACTAGGTATACTCGTCACATTTGTTACACCTGACTGCTTTATTGTCATGGGTATCGGCCTGGAATGGCGACCCGTGTTCGTGCTGGTTATCTTGCATTACCTTTGTTTACATTTTATTGCAGTTATATGTATCTGTGTTGTTTGTATACTGCACTGACCTGTAAAACTATAATTGTAAATTTATTTGGTATCTTACTTTCCTGCATTAGACGAAGTATTACGTTATTCTTCTCGCTACCGAGTCCTGTATAGCATACGTCCGTCCACAGCTGTGTCGACTGATTACACTGAACAGTGACCAAGTTCTGCCCTATATATATATACAAGTTTGCAGAGTAGCGAGAATCGGGAACAAAAATGGCGGACACATTCCTTTTACGAATCGTGTTCAGCTTTAAGTAAAAAAATAAAACAGATTTAAATCATTTGCTGTCTTTACCATATTAACATGTGCTCTAAAGGACATATATGCATGGTACATAAATCTTTAAAAAAAACAATCATCATGGAGACTGCAATTCCATGCAAAAATAAATTATGAATATGTAAATATTGTATGTATATACAATGTAGATACACGTACACGACTTGGATGCTGTAAAAAATATGCTTAATATTACATAGAATCCTGCTTTGTAATATGCAAAACTATAATTACTTGCACAATGTGTACTGCATAACAAAAAACAAAAATCATACACACAAGAATAAATATCATTTTCAGTTAGCCAAAGCACATCAAGCACATACAAATACCACTACAGAGTTGTCATTTTGGTGACTTTGGTGGATCTTTCTTCGCTGTCAACGTCTGTGTTAACTGAGACCACAGAAACGGTCTGAGCCATCTCTCCCGTCCCGCAAAACTCCTTCATGGACATCACGCCAAACTTCACCTGCTCAACTCCCATCGCCACCCCGGCCTTGACACGATTGGCTGCAATGCTTCCCGAGTCTTTGATGGTTGTCAAGTACTGGGACCCAGATTCACGTATGGAATGCACTCGATTACGTACTTTCTCCATCTTCTTTTCAAGAGTTATTTTCACTTCATTTAAGGTATAGCTGGTGTTGCTTCGACCTTTTTCCAGGTACTCTTCTGGAGTGGGTGTGGCACATTTCCTTGGAGATGACCTTGGTGTCCTAGCAACAGGAGAATTAACAGGGACTTTGAGAGGAGACTCTTCATTTTGGTAAGAATCATCATAAGAATCTTGATCATCAAGACTCCTACTCGAGGAATTCTGATCATCTGTATAAGCTTCAAATGTGTAATCTGTGGCAACCTTGGGTTTTTCTCTTTGTTCAACGAGAACACAAGGACATTTACAGAAATTTATTGCACAAAGTTTAATCATTCCCACAAGCAAGCCAAAGACCAAAGCCGTTAGAGCACTCACTCCCCCATACACCATGCCAACCCATTCAATGGTAAATAATTTTGTAACAGCGGTTAAGGTTAGGGTTGCTGTATCATTTCCATAACTGTTAAGCAGCACACAGGTAAAAGTCCCATTGAAAACTCCCCGAAAGTTGGTAAAGGTCAGAGTATTGTTCTCTGTTATGAACAGTTCTGAAAAATCCTCTATACTATGCTTGTATTTCAAATGTGACAGCGTAGTTATGTTCGCTTGATCCAGTATTTCTTGGTGATACTTGTGGCTTATTTTCACTCCCTGAGGGGTTATCCAGTATCCAATGGCATGGTTTTCAGGTGATGCTCTGCAGTGAATGGTTCCACTGGAACTGACTGGAACTTCCAGAGAATTAGATATTTCATCAATAAGAGGAACATCACATTTTAAGTCACTCAGTGTCAACTCTTGTAATTTTGTTCTCCGCAATCTGAATGGGGAGTAGCAGACTAGCAAGTCTGGGTTGGAAACTCTAACTTTTTGCTGTGTCAGGATTTCTAGAAAACTCTCCAATTCACAAGAGCAGTCCCATGGGTTTCCATGCAATCCTATAATAGTGTTATTGTTTATTTCTGATACCACCTCTTCTGTTAGACTTGTTAATGCATTCTCACTTAACTGAAGGGTTTTCAGATTAGTCAAGTTGTGGAAGCTGCCTTCTGCAATCCAGTGTATATTATTATTTCTCAGATCTAACTCTTCAAGAGAATTCAGTGGATTAAATAGACCCAGAGAAAAAGAATAAATCTTGTTGAATCTTAAATGAAGTATTTTCAAATTAGACAATCCCTTAAATGCATCTTTTGGAAAAGTCTGTAATTTGTTTTCACTCAGTGAAAGAGTTTTTAAGTTTTTAAACTCACTAAAAGCACCTGATGAAATTTTCACAATATCATTGGAACTGAGATCTAATTCTTTAAGCAAATCTGGGCTTCCCACTTGAATCTTTTCTATTGTGGTTAATGCATTTCTGCTGAGATCGAGTTTCTGAAGTCCTTTCAGGGACTGGATTTCCAAGGGGAATGATTTCAACCCCCCAAATAAGTTCAGAAGTCTAACAGTGAAAGTTTTAGGTATGGTATGGATAGAGAAACCTTCATAATATGAGGAACAGAAAGCCTCCCTTTTAGAATGTTCACATACACAGAACTGAGGGCATTCAGGGGTTGAAATGTTTTTTCTTGGAGTATGCGTAGTGATAACATCCTGAATATACACGGAATGGCTGATGTGTTTGTTCCACGCTGTGATCAAGAAGACAACAGCTAGAACTTTCTGTACCATCTTCAGCTGCCCATGTGTTCAGAGCTGCAATGAAAAAAATTAGAATACATGTACAATGTACATGAAGTACACTCAGGCAGAGTTGATATAAATGTATTATATATATTTAGCGTGTAAGATAATTGGCAGAATTTTTTAACAAAATCCCAGTTGATTTGATATCCGAGTTCTACATATGAAAAGATTTGATTTAGCAGATTTCTCAGTTTTCTTATTTAATATGTTGATATGTGCAAGACTTTTAGCATTGAACTTGAAAATAGGCTAAGAGGAATGTTTACTCCGCCAAAAGAGCTAAATAGAATACACGGCCAAATGTAATGTTTACTGTACCTAAGAAAAAAATAAAAAAATAAATTGTAGTTCACTAAAATTATATTACATGTACTAAACCAGTGAATTAATCATCTGAATTGATCTTATGGTTGAATGACTGGGTTTTGGGGAGATGACATTTTTTTTTGCCCTTTCATAGAACAAATCCTCTTACTATATATTATAATTGAAATGCATCTGGTTATTGAGATCCAATATACTGTAAACGTATTGTATTTGGCTTGTATTCTTTTTAGCGCCTTTGGCAGATAATATCTTCCGCTAATTCAAGTACAATGCTAAATGTCTTGCACATTTGCTCATAAATTACCCGGTAGTATATTTAAAGAAAGCGCTAATTGTGCTAACTTGTTCAAAATCAATATCCACCAAATATCGTACACGCCAAATATAATACATTTACAGTGAGTAACATTGACTGAATTTCACACACCTGTGAACCCAGTGACATGCATATTTTCATAATTTTCTCTATATGTCTAAGTTTCATGACATATTTTTTTGTTATTTCATTTCAAACACAATTCTTCTTTCCCATAGTACACATAATTGAGTTCTGAATTAATTTTAAATACCGTAAATCTGGAAATTTTTACTGTAGATACATTTTTAGCAAATTTGCGCGTGCAATGCATTCGCAAAAATATTTTTCTTAAAAATAAATCAACATGTAAAGAAATTTTTTTTCTGAAAGTTTGTGTCTATTTTTAACTCAGTGAATAGGCGTCGGTAAGCACTGATCAATTTTTAAGAAAGAAACCTGTTTATACTACTGTAACTACAAGCTAATTACCCGTGCGTGTAAATTGCCCTCATTATATTCAGTATCGTCCGATGGTTTGACAATCACTGAGACGTTTTAATTATTTTGCTAAGAAAGAGAGACCAGTTATTTTAGCCATGCAACCATGTATCAACACGGGCGATAACTCGAGCTCAGCTTTTACTAGAGAGTTCCAAATGTAGGTGAGAAAAAAAACCAAACGTTGAGAAAGTTAGTTATATTTTTTGTCCTTATTTGGATTATATTTGAGTTTGAAAGGCATACACAATTCCTAAAAGGTTTGTTATAATTAATTTAGAAGTTATTTTCAGTGCAAATCCTTTTGTATTTTTATCTTCAAAATTGTTTCGGAGCGATTCTGCAATTTCTTGCCACGTTGCGAGTATATTGGTGGTATTCTAACTGTGCATACTAAATTGAAACATAAACTGATATGAAAATCTTAAGTGATTTTTATTTTTAGCGCCAGTGACAATTCGCAAAATTTTGAAGTGTAAAAATTAATCTATACCTTTTTCACCCAAATTCGCAAAAATAAATCGACGTAAAAATTTCCAGATTTACGGTAATGTTTGGGAAGTGATTACACAACTGGGTTTTATTTCATCCAACTGACCCTGAGCATAGAACTTCTGTGTGGAACGTGACATCTTCGCTAGCCAAAGGTTTTAGGTTTATGAGAAATATTTGGTTGAAAACTTTTATTAGCAAAGACATGAAAGATGGGAAGATGTAGCTGCAGATCTGTAGCTCTCCGAAAAATATACATCGATGGACCGGAGAGCTACAGTGCCACCTATTGTAAAAACTGTATATTTATTGCGCACAAAAAAGTGCGCTCGGTTCTTGATTATTTCTTCCAAATTGTTACCTTGGTTGCAAAAACTGGGAGATTTAAAAAAATTTCTCTCTCCTCTATCAAGTACTCTCGTAGTTGACATCTGAACGAAGCATATTGGACCGAATTATCTTTGAAACCAAAATGGCGGCATAAATAAGTGAAATGTTCGATGATCACAATATCAGGCTCAGGAGGACTATTAACAACAATTATGACGAATGTTTTGTTGTGGAAAGAGTCAAAGAATATGTTAGGAACACACGGTTAGTAATATTTTGAGATTACAGTTTTAGGAACATGGAGAAATAAATCAAAAACCGAGCGCACTTTTTTGTGCACAATAAATATACAGTTTTTTCAATGGGTGGCACTGTAGCTCTCCGGTCTATCAATATATATTTTTCGGAGAGCTACAGATCTGCAGCTAGGGAAGATGTAATAATTTTACTGATGAAAAATGTCATTTATTGAGTAGATGTGGTTTGTCACCATTTAAACCGTTTATAAAAATAGATTAATGTGAAATGTGAAGATGATGAACAAGAATTGGAGTTACCTCAGTGGTTTCTCAGGATGGGAATACAGAGGTAAACAAAGAAAGACCAACTGCGTTCCAGTTTTTCGCCTTTTAGAAAGGCACATTAACATTCAAGGACGCTACTTAACTTCGAGACAAATTTGACGATTTTTAAGAAATAAGAAATGGTAGTGCCATCTTTCTAAAATTTACCTTTTCTAATCAGCTGTTTTCAAATTTGTAGTGAACTTCCTGAAGTGGTTGAAAAGTCATTGAGTCAACACCTTTTCTCAGGTGATATAATAATTTCCGGTTTAGAATTATTTGAAGAACGAGCCCGATTCTTTACAACATAGTCAAAGACGGGGTGGGAGGTAATAACAAAAAGCAGTAAGAAATCAGATCACTGCAACAAGTTTAAAATGAAATACCTTTACCAAAGATATACTTTAGATATATCCTTTTTCAGAAAAATTTTGAAGGCATGAGGATTGAATCTTAATAATGAAATTTTCAATTTAATTTAATGCATCTTCCCTCCTTGTATAAAAGTGTGTAGAATGCACAAGTTATACTTTATACAACCATGATAATGAAACCATACTTATGTGACACATTTATATAAAACCTATAATTGCTCCTACCTTGGCGATGATTAATTTACCCCATATAAAGAACAATGTTTTCTCACTGAAACATATTTATGATGATCATGATGATTTATATGTTTAATATTTGAAAAAGGCTGTTTTTTCCTAATATTTGTGAAACAATGGTTGTAATCTAAATGCCGAGTAAAAGACAGTATACCCACCTCATCAGCTCACTCCCACCCCCACCCCTATGCAATCCTTTGCGGCAATATATGGATGAAACAAGAGGCCCAATTAAAGGGCCTTAACGCGCGGTCACTTGTCAATATAGCTTAACGATCCATATATTTAAACAAGATGAGCTAGCTCATGCTGATAACTAAAGCTATATTGCCCAAACGCAACATAAAATGAGCTCATGCTGACAACTAAAGCAATATTGCCCAAAAGCAAGGAGAAAAGGGATCAGGAAAATATCAGTCAATCTATTACCCAATAACAAATCTTAAACATGTTAAAGCTGATCTATTTAATATTGCCTGTACTCTCTCCCCCCCCCCCCATTTGTCACGATCCTATTCAGGCTAAACAAAGCAATATATCATTCTAAAGAACAATTTTAACACATTTCCTCGTCATTTTCTCATGGTCATAGACCTTTTATTTTTGTCCCGTTTTCATTTATCTATATATTAGTTAATTTCAAAAAAGTTAATTCAAATATTATAAAATGTCTTGTATAATTATGCTGTTTAATCAACCTTATAAAGGTACGTTATTTACAGTGACTAACTATATATTATACGTGAATACAGCCGTAGCATCGTCTTTGAAAGTGGGGGGGGGGGGGCAGCCAGAGAAAAAAAAATTGACTCACCTGAAAAAGTTGACAAGCAAAAAAAAAAAAAAAAAGGAGAATAATTGTCCAAACTCGAAAATCCAAATCCTATTTCGTTGGGGGGGGGGGGGGGGTAAGAGAATTCAATTCAAGGGGAATTTTGGCATTTAATACATTTCCCTGATATCAATTTTCAGTTGATATCAACTGTAGTATAAAGTGAGGGGCCAACAGCCTTTCGATGAACATTTCCAATAGTAGAAGTAATGTTGGGGAAAAAAGTTGGGGGCAGCCCCCCTGGCCCCCTGTTGCTACGTGCCAGGGAATACCAAAGGGGAATAATTTCTTTCAGTGGAAATTAATAAAATTAACCAAAGTGTACCAAGGGTTTTGAAGTTCAATTAAGATTGGGATCGATATTCCAAATATCGCAATCAAAGTAAACAACATGGCGCTCAGTTCAAATCAAGAATCGAAGCAGAAAAGTTTAGCAGTTTCATTCAGACAGAAATTAGCCGTAAAGTGTTTTTTTTTTTTAAATTTTAAATCTATATTTATCAATTTTAGGAGAAATTCCATATAAAAAAAAATAACCAAGTCAGTTAAAAAATTTAGCCGAGGCAAAAAGATAGAGGAACCAGTTTGGAAGTTGCAAGAACTTGTGTCTTTTTATTTGATTTTTCTTTGGCAAGGAAAACTTTTCTTTTTTTTAGAAACTAGGGTGTCCTTATACAGAAGGTGTGTCAGAATCATGGATCTCAGAAATGATCTATAAGCCGGGGGAACCAAGGATCAAACTACTTCAATGGCTTTTCTCTAAGTAAGCATAGTTCTCTGAATTTCTATCAATAAGCATCAATGTTTACATTTGCAAATGTTTTTCCTTATATTAAGACTATTTGAACAGATTATTTTTACACCTCTGTGAAACAAGTTTGTCCATAAATTGATTATATAGTCAAAAATGATATACGAGGGCTGTTCAAAAATTACGCGGTCTCTTCTATTATTCACTTTAACAGACGTCATATAGTTATGAAATTTCACAGAAATATGTTTCTTAAAGATTCCAACAAATTTTGGGCAAAATTTGTGTATTTTGAAAAAATTCCATTAAAATTATTGGTATGTTGATATCGCTGATGGAGAGGTACGGAGCACGACAAAAAATTTGAAGCAAAAGCATGCAGAATCCAAAATTTAACTCATTAATTTTCTATAATTAGTAATATTTTTCGACAATTTTCTCAAATGTATCTTTGAATTGTTTTGTTATTATGTATTTAGATTTCTGACTTGATATTTTAAGTACTAACAGAAATATCGTGATTTTTCTCTGATGCAATACTCCTGAAAACGACTGTGAAAATGACGTCTCCTGAATTGACGGCGCACCACACTTTTGTTAAATCATGTGTAATGCTCGAAATATCGCAATTATAGATCCAAAATATGCATAATAAAACATGTAATAAACTAGAGTATTTGTAACATTCGTCCACAAATAGCAAATTGAAATTTTAGACTGTTAGACCTCTGTAAAAAGGCTATACGGTAGGACGGGAAGAAGATTATCGGCGAAAACTTTATCCTTACTGTAAAGAACGTGATTGAGAGTCACCAGTATCACACTATATCTCATAAATACCCGCTGTTTTGGTTTTAAAACGAAAAAAGATTATTCTTTACTTGTTTACAATGTAATAAATTTTAAGCTTGACAAGAAATGGTGTTTGGATGTTAAGTAGGTAAGGTAACTCAAACTGTACAGGAACTTTAGGGTAAATGTTGAGAAAATGAAAGTTTAATCACATATTTTTACATAATGCCTATGACGTCGAAGATTTTGCTGCTCCGTGACTTAATGATATGTCCTGAAAAATCACTCAAAATTGACACCAATTTACAACATTTTGATATGAAATTTTGAAGACCATATAAGTAAAGATTCTTTTATGTTATGTGTGACATTTTGCCCGATTATGTCGTCAAATATTTTTCTGTGCAACAAGTCCGCGTAATTTTTGAACGGCCCTCGTATGCTTAGTGACATACCTCATAAGAGATCGATATGTTCAACACATTAAATTTCAGTGATTGGAAAGGGCTTGCGCCACGCGCCATAGTCGCATTGAAGTGAAAAATGGCGCATTAAACCAATCATCTATGGCGCCAAGGTGCGCATTCATTTTTTTAGCGATGATATTAGGAAATATTTTGCATATGACTTTCTTTCTTGTTTTACTTTCGTTTTAAATGCAGTCAATTTAAAACAACAAATCTCATTGGTTGAAACCTGTCAAAAAGTACTTCCGGTTAAACGAAGCACTTACATGAGGTACAATACTTCATTCATTTGTATGGTAGGGCTGTTCCCTTTCCAAAAATGTCGTAATTTTAACACAAAATACGGGTCAGTTATACTCTAAGCAAGTTCCTTTAAATTTGTTGCATTTCATGTGTTAAAAATCGGATTCGGTTAATTAAAACGTACGTGTTTTCTCATGTATTTCATATCTGTTTGTCACTTTGTTATTTCTTAAAATGGCCCTTCAGATTATATTGATGGCCCATTCATTTTCGAAATGGCCCATCAAAAATGTTGACAGTTGCGCCATAGTCCCATCGACCATTTTGGCCTTCCCAATCACTGAAATTTATACTCGATTCTCATTATATCGCGGGTTCCATTGTATCGCGGTATAGTTAAAAAAAACAGATACGTAGCTCATATCATTTTTGTGAATAAAACTATCTGTCTGTTGTCTAATGTAAATTTTTGTAATGATTAAAAAGAATGAAACATGTGTCAGAAAAGTTTTTATTCAAATAAAGCGTACCGGTAATTTTACAGATTTCCATTCACATTTTTATTATATTTAGACCACTGAATTTATAATCAAGTAAAATCCGTAATAAAGTTCAAGTTTTGAAAGTCTTTAGTTTGTATAATTGTTTATTTTTTACGTAGAATTACATTGTTAAATTAAAAATAAGAATTGAGGTCTTTGTCAGCCACATGTTAGCATGTTTTCCCATACCGCGATACTATGAGACTCTCCAATTTAGGAGGTAAATAAGACTTCCTGTTTTAAAATAGACTACAAGTTAAACGATGCAAGATTGGGAAATAATTTTACACTAAAAAGTTAGACCATAGTTTGGTTTATGACTATCATTTGATGAAAGTTTAAAGTAAAAAATTGGAATTATATTTTTATATGCAAAAGTTTTAAGTACCGCGATATAATGAGACACCAGTCACACCAGTATATACCATTAAGGTTTGAAAAAATAAATCATTTTATTGGGTTTAATTTATTTACCTTAATATTTGTAATAAATCAGTCACAAATGTAAATATAAGTAATATTATGGTATCATTTTAAATTTTTTGTCAATGTGTGGATTTAAATACAGGTTGGTACATGTATGTGTTCAAATCTACTGTAGGAAATTAGGCTGGACTGAGGACATCAGCCCGGATAGCTCAGTGTTTAGAGCACCTGACTAGAAATAGTCCCGGGTTCGATTCCCAGTCCAGCCATATGTTTTCAATATATATGTATTTATGAATTTTCAATGTATGTTTACTCATTCCTCCTTTCCATACTACACTACCATGAAGCCATAAGATTAGTTTTAAGTTTGTGATATTTTGTAAAATCTAAAAACATGTCTTGATCATATTGATCATGTTTTTGATCATGAAAATAGTTGTCTTAATTCAATTTATTTCCATTTTTTAAAAATAGATTTGATTCCAAGCTCCATGAATACATTGAACCAAGGTTTGACACTGCTGAATCCAAACTAGACTCCAGAATTCAACGTAAGACATCAACTGCTATAACAACACCTCTTCTAAAAAAAGAAAAAGAGAGAGAGATTTTAAAATCATTTTCATTGTGTCAAATGTTAAATGGTTTCAGGAAAATTTTCTTGTTTGGGAACAATACAGTAGAATTCATCGTTAAATGAGAAACATCATACTACAGGGTGAAGATTGACCATGTCATGAGGCATATGAATTTGTGGGTCTTTGAATTCCAAGAAACAATGAAAATCAATCCCACTCACAAATTTAGAAAAATCACAGCATAAAACCTGTAAAAAGTTTTCAGTGTACATGTATGCCGAGTATGCACAACACTTAATTATTTGAAGATGAACTCTATAAACATACTTGATTAAAGGTCAAAAATACTAATTAATGTTAACTGCAATTCTTTTTCATTAAAAAAAGAGAGTATAAATGTATGTCATCATGAATATACATGTGTATAAAAATCAAACCCAATATTAAACAGGTCGGAGAGAATACTTGAAATCGGGTATTATCCTTGAAATCGCGTATAATACCCGATATTAGGGTATCGTTGAATCCACGAAATCGGGCATTCCGTGCAACTTTCTATAAAAACTAAAGAATAAAGCAACGGCGCATTATGCCAGTTACTGTTACTTGTACATCAGTACCTTGTGGATTTATTTTTATTATACCTAATTCATACGGTTGTCAAATAAGTTTAAAATCACACGACAAACACTGCTGGGGTCTTTATTTCCCATTACAGTTTTCCATATACTTAATTTTCTAATTTGTGCAATATTCACAAAACGTGAAAATTTAAAGAAATTAAACGACTAACGCCATGTTATGTATTTTTACTGAAAAATGTATGGCGTCCCTTTCATGTGAAATATAAATTATTCCAAACACTTAGAGAGTACAGATGATGCGAACATCTTTATACGTTTTCTTGATGGAACAGCCCCGATCAAGAAATCTGTACAGGCGACATGCCGGTAACTTAGTTCATGCTGTGATTAACGCAATGGGTTTTCTTAAGAAATAAAGGAGAAAATATTCAGTGGATGTAAATATTTATTTGTTAAAGCTTACATTTATTATCATGATCTTTATAATGTAGGTCTCCTCTTTGTGGCCTCTACTCTAGGGTTCTGTAGATATGACGATGTGGACTTGATCAGGGTAGGTCATCTATGTACTGTATGTTTACTGTCTGTAAACTGTGTAATTCTGAACAAATTTGGTTTAATCAAAATTTTAACTGAATATAAATGATTATGCAGTGTCAGTGTACAACTTATCCAAATGTTTTTTTTTATTATTGTCTGTGTGTTCATTTTTGAATATCAGAAAAGACAATCTCCACATACACTTGATTGATTATGAAAGAGTAAACTTTTTTCCTAACATGGAAATTCCATTACTGTGATTATCAGAAATCTGCACAGAGTTGTAACAAAGGTTTATGTTTTATTTCAGAATTTTTTTTATTCTAAAAATCAAGAAAATCTCTTAGTCTTTATTACAAATTATTCTACAATTTGTTTCATATTTGTTTAGAACCAGACAAGTATAAAATGCATTTGGACAAGTTTCATATTTTAATATTTAAATACTTATATTCATTACTTGTCCAATGGAAAACTGGATATCTTAGAAGTTAATGTTGAGCCACAAGGCTTGATTGTAGCAGAGTTGAATGTATACTTGAAGATGATGATGATGATGATGAACTCTTTGAAAATAACTTTAACCAGGGGGTGACCACAGGAAGTAAACAGGATATGTTTATGGACAAACTGATAGACCTGGTGTGTATCAAGGATGCTGCTGATGACCCTGACAATAAGTCAATGAGAAACCCAAATGTGGTCAGGTAAGAAGTACAGGTATGGGCACTGGTCAGGAAAGAAGTACAGGTATGGGCACTGGTCAGGTAAGAAGTACAGGTATGGGCACTGGTCAAGTAAGAAGTACAGGTATGGGCACTGGTCAGGAAGTAGTACAGGTATGGGCACTGGTCTGGTAAGTACAGGTATGGGCACTGGTCAGGTAAGTACAGGTATGGGCACTGGTCAGGTAAGTACAGGTATGGGCACTGGTCAGGTAAGTACAGGTATGGGCACTGGTCAGGTAAGTACAGGTATGGGCACTGGTCAGGAAGTAGTACAGGTATGGGCACTGGTCTGGTAAGTACAGGTATGGGCACTGGTCTGGTAAGAAGTACTGGTATGGGCACTGGTCAGGTAAGTACAGGTATGGGCACTGGTCAGGTAAGTACAGGTATGGGCACTGGTCAGGAAGTAGTACAGGTATGGGCACTGGTCTGGTAAGAAGTACAGGTATGGGCACTGGTCTGGTAAGAAGTACTGGTATGGGCACTGGTCAGGTAAGAAGTACAGGTATGGTGACTGGTCAGGTAAGAAGTACAGGTATGGGCACTGGTCAGGAAGACCTGTACATGTATGGTCACTGGTCTGGTAAGAAGTACAGGTATGGTCACTGGTCTGGTAAGAAGTACAGGTATGGGCACTGGTCGGGTAAGAAGTACAGGTTTCGGCACTAGTCTGGTAAGAAGTACTGGTATGGGCACTGGTCAGGTAAGAAGTACAGGTATGGTTACTGGTCAGGTAAGAAGTACAGGTATGGGCACTGGTCTGGTAAGAAGTACAGGTATGGGCACTGGTCAGGTAAGAAGTACAGGTATGGTTACTGGTCAGGTAAGAAGTACAGGTATGGTCACTGGTCAGGTAAGAAGTACAGGTATGGTCACTGGTCAGGAAGACCTGTACATGTATGGTCACTGGTCTGGTAAGAAGTACAGGTATGGGCACT